CATTTACAAATAGTGATGCACATTTATAATATGAACACTAAATGCTTCCATGATACATTACTATCAACTCAGTACTTTGCATGCTAATGCATCTTTGCTTTATTGTCTCTTTTTTAAAGAGTTTAGATAATGCATCCATGTTCCTGATGGTAAAACTATGACATTATTTACTGTCTTTACATTTATTTTGAAAGATGAAGCTCGCGATTATGGTAAGGGACGTTACATTTCCGACGAGTGCTTGCGGTGTTCGGCCAATCACAATGCACTGGGTCAGCTGGCCAATCAGGGCAGACTGCGCTTGTCGGAAGGAGGGACTTTGTAGAAAACGAAGCGTTTGAGAGAGGCGGGGCATAGAGGACCTACAATAATGTACAGTATTTGAAAAATAATGTGTTTTTTGAACATTAAAGCATGTCAACATATTCTGTTACACCAAATACACAAAATAATGATCTTTAAAAAAAGCATCATATGACCCCTTTAATGTCCGTGGTATCTGTGTAGTTTCTCTTTCTAAGTTTTTAAGTTTACATGTATTTATTTATTCTGAACATGGTCACGTTCTTTGTTAATTTTGTACAATTGTTTGCATTGCTTTGTTTGCTATTTTGTATGTTAACTTTTCCTTTTTTATAGGCTACTTTATATGAAACAAAAAGCTATATATTGTAAATATAGCCTATACTGTGGAAGAATTTTTGCCTTCGTATTTCATACTTTTGTACAAGCATTCCGTTTCAATAAATACTATTGCATGAAGGCAAATATTTACGTATAAAGAGTTTACTATTGCTCCCAAGCGGTGTGATTTCCGCGGGTTTTTTAATACGTCGACCAGAGACGTAATATCCGGTACAGTAAGCGCCTATACTCAAACCTTCAGGAGGAGCCAGCTAAAGCAGCGTGCGGTGAGTTTGACATGTCAGATGAATGCAATATTTCTCAGCTGTCGACTACAAAATATCAAGATGCATGGATGCAAATATAGCTGTGAAATAAATGCGCTAGACAGCTTGCACTGAGTAACTTAAGCAGGAAGTTAGCTAGAACAGCTAACTTAGTTGTTTACCTCAGTTGTGCAGGCGCTTACACTGTTTTGCTGGCTCTGCAGAGATGAATGTGGCTGCATTTGATTGCCATTAACAAATGCATACATACAAACATTCACTAAACACAATGAAACGTATATTTATGATACATATGGTGCATTACATACTCATGCAGTCTCAGGAGTCTTAATATACAGACTTTAATCGGAGACATGGTTAAGTGATAATGTTTACTGAAGTGCACAAAGTTAAACGCGAGCGATATGATTTCAATTTGATGGCTCGTGTAATACCGCTACCATTGACATTAATGACAGCCGCTGCTCTGCATAAATGGCAATGTATAAACTTAATTACATAAAGGCCAACAGTCATTGCAGCTGAACAACCCTTGCTTCGCCACAGATTCCGAGAAACTAAAGGAGCTCACAGGGTCACATTACCGTGCTCATGAAGCGCTCTGCTGTTTTTACACTCGAATATATCCATTTAAACACAGCAGAGAGCCTTAAATGTGTGAAAGGATTGTTTGTCCAGGTCAGAGATGTAGTTGTGCATAGCCCTGCTCATATCTTTGGGCATTTGGGCACCATAGGCTTGCAAGTCTACAACCAATTTTTGAGTATCACAAAATAAAATGTTTGTCCTTTGGTAGTCTATAAAGGGCAATGAATGAATAAATAAATAAGTTGACAAGAAAAGTTAAAAGAATCAGGGCGTATTAGCCAATCGGAGAAATGGAAGGTACTTTAAAATCATTTTAGGATGATCAAAAAAAACAAAAAAACATCAAAAAGATTTAACATTACTATAAATTTGAACAAATATGTCCACATACACAGAAGAGCAATCTTTTATGTGCATGTAAGAGAGAAAAATAAAATATAAGAATAATAACAACAAAACATTTATACAGCTAAACAATAGTACCAATTATCTTCCTTGGGACAAAATCAGTGGGGGAACTATACAATAAAAAAGCTTCTATTTCTAATAAAAATCAATTACATTTTGGTATGGATTTCACTTTTTTTTTTTTTTTAATGAACGTAATATTTACCTTGCAAAATGTAAAAGTGAATGACTCAGTGCCTACTCGGTCATTTTGCTTTTGTGTGAATATGTGCAAATAACATCTTTTAAAGAGAGCATGTAATTGACATTTCTTTGAACAAATAAAAAGGCACTAACATCAGACCAAAATCTAAAAGACACAGTCACAATTATAAAACAACTGAGACAAGTCTTCCTCGTGCGCTTTACAGAAAGTGCAACTATTGCCAATGTCCATGAATTTAGAAAGAGCTATTGTACATGGGTAAATTGTGTGAAGCATTTTGAAAATACCTCTTTAACTTTTGTTCAAAATATAACATTTGTAAGGATTTGACCAAGCTACTTTAATATCAGAAATGTTAGCATTTTCCTCTAAGGGAGATTTTATGTTTTGACTGAAACATGTGTCTAATATTTTTATTATTATAAGAGAAAGGAAATCTTTCAGTACCATCTATTAACTCTGGAAGTATCCTTTCATTGCTTCCGAAAGTTAGATGACTATTTAGCAACCCATTTGGAATGGCTTTAACAACTTGTTGAAATTCTTTAAAGGGAATGGGGAAGTTGTAAAAATGAAGAAAAGTCTTGATAAGACAGAATGTTTCCACTATCATAGAACAGATCCATAACAAAATATATATTCCTTTCAAACCACTGCAAAAATAAGGATTTATTCCTAGAGGTAATGGCATAATTGTTCCATAAAAGCATTTTATGTAAAAGTTGTGGTGGAAACACATTTTCCAAGCCAATATTGCTTGCTGCATGGTGAAATTTCGATAACTTAACTGGTACCTTTCCTGGAAGAAAATTACCATTTTAGGCGTTCTGGTTTGCTGACACTGGGTTGAGTGACGTCTGGTGGGCGGGCCTTAAAGCTCTGTAAGATTCCTTTTGTTTTTAGATCTCTTAGATTCTAAATAGATTCTCTTGACTGTATATATACATTTGCTGGTATTTGCATGTTATTTAAATATTTTAATTTAGTTTGATTGTTATTTAAATATTAACATTTTCGTAATGATGCAAGCTTGATGTAGCGAATCAGCTCATGGGGAAATATGAATAATTAACCACAACTAGTTATAGTTAACTATTCATATCAGAGAAAGATGCAGAAATCATTACAAGCACGAAGCACCGACAGCCAGAGACTGTTTAGTGCTGCATCACGTATCCGATGAGAAGATGAGGTGGTTATGATTGAAATCAAGAAATTACCTCAAACGATTAGTAAATAAACTGCAGAATGTTATATTTTCTAATGCACGCATGAATTGCATGTATTCTGACAGCTCTGCAGGAGCTCACGGCACCAGGGTTCAAAGTCCAAAGCGCGAGGAAAATCTACACTGAAGTTATTACACGTCAGTTACTCAGTAACATTTTTGTGAATTTTTTTAAAGGCATGTGACAATGTGATACGTGCGACAAACATCTTCCCAAATTCGTAATGAGAATCATTTATAAATCTGCATGATGTTGTCAATAGAAAGAAGCAAGCACTGAGATCTTCCTGCGGGTTTCTGCCCAAATAAAATCCGAGCAAAAGCAGCAACTCTATCGACATTCATAAATGATAGTATTGTAATTTTACTGTCGTTCTGTAAAATAAAATAAAAAAGTAAGACAATAATAATGATAATAATAATTACCCTACAACAGCTATATTAATACATTTATTATAACATTCACACATAGTGTTCAAATTGGGATCTGTAATATATTCTAATGTTTTAAAATAATTCTCTTCTGGTCAGCAAGGCTGCATTTTATTTGTACAGTAAAAAATACATGCCTGATTCAAGTCTCAAAAATGGCCGAGAAATATAATTTTACTAACTTATTAATTTTAAGTTAAATTGTGCTTTGTCTGATGTCTGCTAGAATGTTTAAAAAAAATTCAGTGTTAAGTAAATATTTTTAAATTGTTGTTTTTTTTAATAGATTTTTTTATTTGAAAAGCAGGACAAAACAGTAAAAAGCACATTTTGGTAATTTAATTAATGCAATGGTGAAAAAAAGGCAAAATAGGCCTACATGGGGCAAAAATGTGAAACCGTGTTTGGTATTCGGTATTCGGTATTCGGTATTCGGTATTCGGACTTGGCCCAGTGTTTCATTCTGTTCGGTTTTGGCTTCGGCCAAGGATTTTCATTTCGGTGCATCCCTACTTTATTTTATCGTCAGAAACATTTGAGGACAAAATAATCACTTGGTTTGCCATTGATTGCTAAGCATCATTTCTTTGAAATGTCTTCAGAGTTTTCATTTGAAGCATTTAGTAGCAAGTTAACTAGTTATCCACGCATATTATGTTAGTGAAATAATCTGTGCTTAATACTTACTGTACCTTTTTTATTTTCCTGTTCACTGTTTGTCCAGTGTTTACTTATTTAAAATCCGACATTTTCTTCACATTTGAAAGTGCTGTTTTTATTTTGCAATCTATTTTAGATAAATGCATCCCTAAACAGAAAGTAGCAATGAAATTAACTACGGTTTGTTGCTGGTCAGGCGGCTCTGCCTGACTAAGTGGGTGTTTTTTGGCCAGACTTAACAGAAATCACTAGAAATCAATAGTTTCAGTAAATCATCTTTGAGAAAAAGAAAAAAAACTAATTTTGCCCTGCATTATACTTCCTTCAGAAGATGCAATCTAGCTGTTGTCCAGCAAGCATATTCAGATTATTCAGGATGCAACTGGTTGTGTGTTACTGTGATGTATGTGGTATAAAATGGTGTATTTATTTTTGAATCCTAGAGTGAGTGTTTCAAGGTCCTGATTTTGGAAACGGGAGAAAAAAACCGTGATGTCTGGGCTAATTAATTCTTGTTTGGAGTTGAGAAATCCCTTCTGGAATTAATTAGACACACCATGTATTGATTTTTCTTTCTTTTCCTGAATTCTGTGCTTTTAACAGTAAAGCCTAATTCACTTTGTGCAGGCTTAGTTCCTTTCCGTTCCACTTCGGAGGTTTCAATTTCCTTTTTGGAGTGCCTGGGAGAAATGCGTAGGAATATTCATAAGCGTTAACAACATCACTATGGTTCATCCTGATGCCCTGTGTAATGATATCTTCTGTATGTCGTCTGGGGGTGAATAGCGCAACTATATCCAAATGCGAAAGAAATATATCCGCAGTGCCAAGACGTCTAAATAAGTTTATTTTTTTTTCAGTGACAGTTTGAAAGCTGGAATGCGAAAATCAGTTCAGTCACCGCAGATTGTCACGCTTCTTTAATTCTGAATGAAGGTGAGGAGATGCATGACAGTGTTAATTTCAACTCTTTTAAACAACTCTAAGATTCATTCAGTGTGCTTTCAGTGAAGTGTAAACTGTAAATTGCTTGGTTTATCGGCTTTTCGTTGCGCAAGATTTTTCATTTCGGTGCATCCCTAATAATCTTATCTTAAGAGGGAAAATTTCCTGAAGCAAAAATGCTTTTTTACACCTATTGTCATGTTTTATAATTCGATTCATCAGAGATTAAAGTGATGTGCATCCAGCAGATGTTGTTTACGAGAGGTCGAGAGTCTATAGTGCTCAAGGGCTGCAAAGGCCAGAAGATCTATAAAATATCAAGACCCTCGATGGAGCATCTCTCCCAGATGTTCAGCTCCATTGAATGAAACTCCACTTCATCAGGATGGGCTGTTGTACACGTTTATGTTTCATTGGAGCCGCTTGAGTTGAGATGTTTTTCATTTCAGGTTTGCTTCTATTGATTGAAGGCGAGCTACACCGGTAGACTTTTCAGAATTAATTAGTGTAATTTGTGATCCCCACCATTTTCTCAAGATGAGTTTTGGTACATGTTTATCATGGGCGCACGCATGTACGTGCAATTCTTCATTCTCAATTAGTCAACCATATGAAGCGTCTATTTTTGTGGCTCGGTGCCATATAGGCTTAATTGTTTCTGAGATGTTGACTGTGGTACCGTATGTTGCTTTATACTTGCTATCAATGCATCTAAGTTGTTATGACACATTTTTTCTTTTGCTTGGCAACATATACGCATCCATTTTTGTTCTTACTGTTACAGGCTATAATCAAAAGGACATGCCTGTACAAAAAGTCAAGGATTCATCTGACCTAGACGCCAAGGTCCCTTCTCATCTCCAGCGCACATCTATAACAAGCCTCACAATAACCTCTGAACCCTCACACAGATGTGTCAAGGTTTGAAGCCACTCTTTACTGGTTTCTGCTCCAACAAATGCATGCTTGCATAACAGGCATCAGACTTACTCTGAATTGCAGTAAAACTTTTAGTATTACTTATTTCATGCTCCTACTGTTTTCTTTAAAAAATTACATACGTTTCTTTAAAGCAAGACAACATTTCTACTTTAATTGTTTGTTTAAAACTTTTAATGTTGCTTGATGACAATGGTTTATTATTATATGCAGTTATATAACTTATTTTTTGAATGATTCTTTAAACACAATCATGACTAAATTACCATTATATTTAAACTATAAAAACGTGATTTATGATTTTTGTTTATTATTAATCTAGTCAAAAATCAAGGATTATTATTATTATATTTTTGAAACATCTTCTTCTTAATCATAATAAATGCCTAGCTGTTTCGTCGTGAGATCTGGTGGTCAGTATTTATGGTCACGGATTTATTTGACATAATATTAAATTTAAAATTAATATAGACAGATATTACAATTTATTATTATTAAAATGTAAAACCTTCTTCTTCTTCTTGATGATGATTATTATTAATAAATAATAGTGCTGTCAAACGATTAATCGCGATTAATCGCATCCAAAATAAAAGTTTTTATGTAGTATATGTGTGTGTACTGTGTATATTTATGTATATATAAATACACACACACACAGTATATATTTTGAAAAGATTTACATGTATATATTTATATAATTTATATTATATATAAATATATTTAATATACAAATCTAACAAAATTGTCTTAAATGTATACATGCATGTGTGTATTTATATATACAAAATAAATATACACAGTACACACACATATATTATGTAAACAAAAACTTTTATTTTGAATGCGATTAATCGCTTGACAGCACTAATAAATAATAACAAGTGCCAAGATTTGAATGGTCACAGATTTATTAGACATATATTACATGTAAAGTTAATAAAGACAGATATTTTATTATTATATTTGTAAATATATTAATAATACTAACAGTTTGCCGAGTTATATTGAGAACTAAATGGTCATATATAATTATATATATCTAGCAATACATTTTTAATTGGTTTGGACACTGTCTAATTGTTAAGCTGCACATATCTCATATGTTAATTTTAAAAAGTTAAATAATTTTCAAAAAAATAAACATCATTATTGGGTGAAATTCCTTAGAGACCCACCAACTGGTGCCATAAAACTGACAGCTGTTAATCAGTAAAAAATATGGTTAAACCAATTATTGGACTACCTGTAGTTATCGTCTGATGTTGATTATCTGCCATCATTTACATGCGGAACTGCATCTGCATTAACTACAAGTACATCATACTTTTGACAAAGCTTATCAAGCCTCACAGATCTTTCATTTATATGTAACAGCTTAAATTTTAGGACATTAAATCAATTTACAAATTTAGAATTTTCTCTTATACTGTATGCTGAGGAAGTGGCTTAATACATTGTAACTATAGCTATTCAGTTCTTTAAAGTGCTTATATGAGATCTTTCCTCTCAATAGGCTAGAGTGGTTCACATAGGTCCTGTGATATCCTGCGCACAGAAAGATGGCATCGAAATGCTTAGAGCAGAGCTCAAAGGTGAGTTTCCCCATTTGAATTTAAATTCAAAGACAAAGATCATGAACGAACCTGCGACGTATCAAGCTGATCTGTTTTTTTTAGCAGCGACATGTCTGGCATTCACACCTCGCATTCCTGTTTAAAGCAGCTCTGCCGCTTCAGGTTTGAAAAGATTTGTATAGAAAAATCTGCCATCCAGACTGCATAGATTTTCCCCATTAAAATGTTAACTAATATACCGCCGCATCTAGAGGTAAGAGGCGCAATATGGGGCCAATTTGATTGCCTAAAGAAGCTTGTTCAAAGCATGCTTCAGACTCGCTCGTGTCTGTGATATTTAGCTCTCAGCCGTGCAGATTTTGAGTCTTGAAATAAAAGCTGTAGCCAGTCTCACTCTGTCCTTGCTGTTTTCTTTCTCTCTTTCTCAGAGGAGGACCCCCTTCAGAGAACTGCTGAACATACATCAATCAATGTCATTTTCTTTGGCACGTTGGCCAAGGACTTCTCCCAGTCTGCCAGACAAGGGGTAAAATATTCATTTGAGTATTGGTGAAATATGTGCTTTTTTTTTTTTTGCATCATTTTGACCAAACGATCATTATAGCTAAAAGTTGTATTACAAGAAACAAAATGCATTCAAAGTTAAAAAAAAGAGGCATGTTCCCATGCTGTTTTTCATAAAATTGCTATTTAAATGCACCAGAATAACTGTTTATATACAGTAAATGTCGGTATTTATCTACAAATAAAACATTTTAATGCAGTACATGCTAAATGCCAAAAACAAAGACTCAGAAAATAGACAGAAAATAAGAGTTTTGATTCTGCGCTTTCGCTGTCCTTAAGTTTAATGATGCTTAGTATTCAAATAAAAATGCATTAAAATCATTATGATTAGCAAAATCATCATGAATATATAAAAATGTTTAATTCAAGACGCAAAAAGCAGTAAAAGTTTTTTTTAATATTTGTCTTTTTTTTAATAATGTCTCCATATGTTGTTTTCACAAAATTGTCATTTATATGCGCCAGTGTAATGATGATGTCTTGTATTCAGTATTTATCTACGAATATTTTGACTAAACATTTTAATATATGACCAATGCAACAGAAAGACTCTTACGTGAAAAACAGTGAATAAGAGTTTTGATTCGTTGATATTATAAAACCTCTGTCTTATAATTCTCTTGAGAAAAAGATCACTAAATCTAGTGATTTATATATAAAATAATTTAAAGCAAAATGCAGTCAGTTTTAAGTAACAAGTCGTGTTTCCATGCTGTTTTTCACTAAAATTGTTACTTATATGCACTAAAATAACTACTTATATACTAATGTCAGTACTTATTTACAAATATTTTGGCAAAAAAAAAATCTTAATATGTGACAAATGCTGCAAATGTGCTATTAAAACATATCTGTCCTAATGCTCTCAAGGATAAAATATCGCTAAATTAATCTGATGCTTAAGAGCCAAATGAAAAGTACAAAATCACCATGAATATACATCTGTTTTTTTTTTTTTTTAGGCATTTGTGACTTTTTTCTTTCTCTCTTTCCTAATCCGCAAAATCCTACAATAATCGATTATGAAAATAATCAACAATGAATTTGATTATCGATTAATAATCCTGTGTGACAGTGTTCCTGTGGCTCAGTGGTAGAGCATTGCGTTAGTTCTTAATATGTGACAAATGCTGCAAATGTGCTATTAAAACATATCTGTCCTAATGCTCTCAAGGATAAAATATCGCTAAATTAATCTGATGCTTAAGAGCCAAATGAAAAGTACAAAATCACCATGAATATACATCTGTTTTTTTTTTTTTTTAGGCATTTGTGACTTTTTTTCTTTCTCTCTTTCCTAATCCGCAAAATCCTACAATAATCGATTATGAAAATAATCAACAATGAATTTGATTATCGATTAATAATCCTGTGTGACAGTGTTCCTGTGGCTCAGTGGTAGAGCATTGCGTTAGTAGTGCAAAAAGGTCATGGGTTCAATTCCCAGGGAACACACATACTGGTAAAAAATGTATAGCCTGAATGCACTGAAAGTCGCTTTGGATAAAAGCGTCTGCTAAATGCATAAATTATTAATCACTTCTGGATACTATACACTAACGTTTGTCAGTCACTTAACGGAGCACAAGTGCACAAGTAAAATTACTATAAAAAAACATAAGAAAACATTGTTTAAATTAAAATTGAAAAAAATCAAGAATTTTCATTCTTTTTTTTTTATCCCATTGATTGGTAACTCAATGAAATAATCAAAAGATAAATCTGTATCAAAATAATTAATAGTTGCCCCACTTTTAGTTAAAATTCATGTCTTGTTCAAGCATAATGTGGCAAGCAGTGGCAGCTCCAGGATTTTTTTGTTGGGGGTGCTAAGGGGGGGCTTAACAGTTCAGAGGGGGTGCTAAAAAAACGTTAAATTGAGTGAAAGTAATGAATGCCTATAAGCTTCAGCTATCTAAACGGCATGCAAATTCAGCCACCTTGTGTTTT